AAAAAAAAAAAAAAAGACATCCAGTAGATTTGACTCATGGCTACAATATGCCAACCCCTGATCAGGGAATTAGTAAAAATACAAACTTGCAACCTTCCCAAAACTCATAGCACATGTGACTAGGGAAAATAATACTTTCAAGCAGCTTCTTTAAAATACCTGAACTGATTAACAGGTAATAATTTAAATATAAAACCAAACAGAATTTACAAAGTGTTAGGAAGCACCCAGAGGTATTTAGAAAGCTTCTGCCTTTAGGAATGAATTTGTTCATCAGCTGGTTTATATGAATGTTTGTTATAGCGTCTTTTCAACGGGTGAGGGACTGTGAATCAAGCTTGGAGAATCAAACTCCCAGGAAAATTAGGTGTGTCTCTGTAGGGTTCCTTTACTTATTGCTGACCTTTACCCAGCTGCAGGACACCTGCTGAGTGTCTGCTGGGAACTGTGTGGAGCCGTGGGCAGGGGCCACAGAGGGTGGGGCCAGCAATGGGCTGTCAGGGGACAGCAGACCACACGCTGTTGCTCCAGTGCAAGGCAGAGAGAAAGATGGTCCAGAAGAGGACTGGAAACAGGAGCATTTGCCCACTGTGCGGGCGAAGGGTAAGAGATGGGTAGTGTGCCGAGAGTCCCCAGCGTCCAGGAAGGAGGAAAGACTGGGCAGCCAGGTAGGGTGGAGGGCAGCACATGGGAGCAGGGCACAAGGAGAAGTGTTGGAAACGCAGCTGGACATCCAGGGAGCAGATCCTGGGCAGGTTAGACTCCCTCTCATGAGGGCCATTGATCCTGTGGGGAGTAGGGGCGGGAGCAGGTTGGCTGTAGGCAGGGAAAGGACAGGAGGGTCCTGCATTTCTGAAAGCTCGACAGAGCAGTCAGGTGAAGAGGGATTTTGAGGGGAAAACCAGGGGAAGGGGAGACTGTGAGGAGGCTGCTGTGGTGCCCAGTGCAGGGGACAGATAAGAGAGAATTTGGTTGGGTGGACATCCTGGGCTCTGCTCCTCTCCTCCTTTTGTCCTGCTCCCCCTCCCCTGTCTACCCAGGTCTCTGCTCCTGGGGGTAGGGCATCGTCACTGGCCTGGGAGCTTCGGGTGCCAGGCCTGTGTCTCTTTCCGCATCTCCATTTTGTCTAGGATGGGGCTGCGTCCCATGGTCCTCCTGGTAAGAGTGCAGGGCAGGCAGTGGGAAGGGTTTTACCCAATGCCGAGTTCTAACCCTCGGTCTACATCCTGGAGTTGCTCCTCACTGGGCTGATGTCCTGGTTTCTTGTTTTATTTCTGCCAATCTCTTGGGTCACTTAAGAGTTTTTAAATTAGTTTTTGAAATAACTGGTTAAGAACCTTTCTGATACAATTTTGTATTCTGATAATCAGTTGTGCAATACTTTGCAATCGAAGATAGTTTTATGTTATCCTTTTGGATGGCTTCTTGCCCCTCCCCCATTTCATGTGTTTTTTAGTACTTTTTAAGGCATATTAGCTACTTTTTCCTAAGATGGCATCTTTAGAATTTAGCTTTTAGGGTTAGGGCATCAAAAGAGATGCAAATACTCCTAAAGAAGATTTGATTTTTTTTTTTTAAACCTATTTAGGCCAACTTACTTGAGATAAAGTGCTTGTTGGAAATACTGACTGGGGTTCACCTTACCATATACACAGAGTTTAAAGACTTCCTTCTGGGATTTTCCTGTGTGGAATTTGACCTTTGCTGTATATGATCCACTCATTTCCGTGGTGAGATTCCTAATGCTCAAAACTGCCGTCTCCGTCAGAGAGAAGCTGCTCCTGTATTTTTCCTCCAGCTCATACCAGTCAGGAGTGGCATTAGGTTTCCAGGACACCAGGATCTCTTCTTTCTCAGGCTCAGAATGCCAACTCCACTCAATCTCTCGGACATTTGGGTACAAGGAGGAGCTCAGCTGCAGCTGGACAGATGTCCCCACAGTCCTTTCCAGGGTGTGGGAGGTGCTGGGGTTGTCCACAGTCTGGAAGCTTGGTGAGGGAATAGCTGAGATGGGGAAGAAAAAGTGGACGAGCATTATGCTGCTGTAGGACCTGTGGTCCATCATATCACAGGCATGTTTACAAGAAAAGGAGTCTCTCCAGTTTCACAGATGAGGAGGCAAAGCTGTAAGCAGCTTGCTTAGATGCTGTCCTTGCCTAGAGCTCACAGCACTGGGCCCGGCACAGTGCTTTAAAACTTGAACTCAATCACAAGAGAAAATTTGGAAGGAACACAACCACATGGAGGTTAAAGAGCATCCTACTAAAAAATGAATGTGGCAACCAGACAATTAAAGAAGAATTTTAAAAGTTCATGGAAATAAATGAAAATGGAAACATGACAGTTCAAAACCTCTGGGATGCAGCAAAGGTGGTCCTAGGAGGGAAGTATATAGTGATACAAGCCTTTCTCAAGAAACAAGAAAGGTCTCAAGTACACAACCTAACCCTACACCTAAAGGAGCTGGAGAAAGAACAGGAAAGAAAGCCTAAACCCAGCAGGAGAAGAGAAATATAAAGATCAGAGCAGTAACCAATGAAATAGAAACAAAAATAACAGTAGAGCAGATCAATGAAACTAGGAGCTAGTTCTTTGAAAGAATTAATAAGATCAATAAGCCCCTGGCCAGACTTACCAAAAAGAAAAGAGAAAGAACCCAAATAAATAAACTCACGAATGAAAGAGGAGAGAACACAACCAACACCAAGGAAATACAAACAACTCTAAGAACATATTATGAGCAACTATACACCAGCAAATTTGACAATCTGGAAGAAATGGATGCATTCCTAGAGACATAAAAACTACCGCAACTGAACCAGGAAGAAATAGAAAACCTGAACAGATACATAACCAGTAAAGAGATTGAAGCAGTCATCAAAAATCTCCCAACAAACAAGAACCCAGAGCCAAATAGCTTCCCAGGGGGGTTCTACCAAACATTTAAAGAACTAATACCTATTCTTTTGAAGCTGTTCAAAAAATAGAAATGGAAGGAAAACTTCCAAACTCATTTTATGAGGCCAACATTACACTGATCCCAAAAATAGAAAAAGACCCCATCAAAAAGGAGGATTACAGACAAATATCTCTGGTAAGCATGGATGCCAAAATTCTCACCATGATACTAGCCAATAGGAACCAACAGTACATTAAAAAGATTATTCACTGCTGAATAAATTTATTCGCCACTGAATAAATTCAGTGGGATTTATTCCTGGGATGCATGGGTGGTTCAATATCCACAAATTAATCAATGTGATATACCACATTAATAAATGAAAGAATATTTAATGAAAGAAAGGACAATAACCATATGATCTTCTCAATGGATGCAGAAAAAGCATTTGACAAAATATGGTATTCTTTCTTGATTAAAAGTCTTCACAGTATAGGGATAGAGGGAACATACCTCAATATCATAAAAGCCATCTATGAAAAGCCCACATTGAATATCATTCTTAATGAGGAAAAACTGAGAGCTTTTCCCCTAAAGTCAGGAACATGACAGGGATGCCCACTCCCACCACTGTTGTTCAGCATAGTACTGGAAGTCCTAGCCTCAGCAGTCAGACAACAAAAAGAAATAAAAGGCATCCAAATTGGCAGGAAGAAGTCAAACTCCCAATCTGCAGATAACATGATACTCTATGTGGAAAACCCAAAAGACTCCACCCCAAAATTGCCAGTTCTCATACAGGAAGTCAGCAAAGTGGGAGGATATAAAATCAATACACAGAAATCAGTTGCATTTCTATATACCAACAATGAGATAGAAGAAAGAGAAACTAAGGAATTGATCCTGTTCATAATTGTACCAAAAATCATAAGATACGTAGGAATAAACCTAACCAAAGAGGTAAAGGATCTATACTCCAAAAACTACAGAACACTTATGAAAGAAATTGAGGAAGACACAAAGAAATGGAAAAACATTCCATGCTCAGGGATTGGAAGAATAAATATTGTTAAAATGTCTATGTTACCTAGAGCAATCTACACACTCAAGGCCATCCCTATCAAAATGCCATTGACATTTTTTACAGAACTGGAAAAAATAATCCTAAAATTTATATGGGTGGAAAAGACCCCAAATAGCCAGAGGAATATTGAAAAAGAAAACCAAAGCTGGTGGCATCAGAATGCCAGACTTCAAGCTCTATTACAAAGCTGTAGTCATCTAGACAATATGGTACTGGAACAAAGAGTCACAAGGATCCATGGAATAGAATAGAGAGCCCAGAAATTGACCTTCAACTCTATGGCCAACTAATCTTTGACAAAGCGAGAAAGAATATCCAGTTGGGGGCAGGTGGGGGGAGGGGGAGACAGTCTCTTCAACAAATGGTGAATTGTTGGGAGCCACATGTAGAAACCAGACCATCTTCTTACACCATATACAAAGATAAACTCAAAATGGATGATAGATTCAAATGTGAGACAGCAGTGCTTCAGAATCCTAGAGAACACAGGAAGCAACCTCTTTGACTCTTTCAATTTCAATTTCTTGCTGGACTCATCTTCAAAGGCAAAGGAAATAGAAGTGAAAATGAACTATTGGGATTTCATCAAGATAAACAGCTTCTGCACAGCAAAGGAAACAGTCAACAAAACCAAAAGACAACCTACAGAATGGGAGAAGATATTTGCAAATGTCTTATCAGATAAAGGGCTAGTATCCAAAATCTATAAAGAAATTATAAAACTTAACACCAAAAAACAAATAATCCAGTCAAGGAATGGACAAGGACATGAACAGACATTTCTCCAAAGAAGACATACAAATGGCCAACAGACACAAAAAAAGTGTTCAACATCACTCGGCATCAAGAAAATACAAATCAAAACCACAATGAGATCCCACCTTACACTAGTCAGAATGGCTAAAATTAATAGAAAGGGCTTTTGACAAGTATGGGTTTTTGATAGCTTCAAAAATCATAAAATTAAAATAAGTAAGAATTTCTGGAATTAACTTTAAAAAGTTGCATTCAAACAGAACAAAAATTAGTGACATGGGACTAAGTAAACTGAGGAAGATTACAGTGTGTGACTCTTGTTTAAAACAAGAGTTTGGTTCTCTAATATTTGCTCTTCCAGACTAAGGAAACTTTCTCTTAGACATCAGTGATATGCAGCAATAATTCTGATGTATTCCTCTGTGAACAAATGAATGCCTTTAACCTTTCTACCTGAACCCTCTGAAATTCAAAAGGTCTCAGTAAGTGTTCTTTCTTCCATGGCAATTATGGTCATTTGCATAACTTCAATAAGAATCTGTCCACCATTGGAAATGTTAGTTATTTTACCAAGGCTTTGACTTCAATCTCGTGTTTAGAGAGACATTCCCAGACTCAGATATGACCAAACAGCTTGAAGGAACTAAGGTTGGTGTTAGGAAGCTTGAAGCCAATAGAGCCCCTTAAGTGCCGGCTTGATACTGTCGCAGGATTGCAGGGTTCCTGTCTCACGAGGTCAAAGAATGAATCTTTGAAGGGTGAGTGAAGTGGGAGTTGGTCAAGTGAAGGTGAGAGAAGAAGGGAAAGAAGGAGCTCTCTAGAGTGAGAGGGTCCCAGATGGGTTTCACTGTGGCCTGTCAGCAGCAGCCTTTTATTGAACACTGACCAGGAAACTGAAACCTTGACCTCTCTGGCACAGATGAAACCGTGTTTACTTGTTCTTTGAAGTTTGGTCATTTTTCGTGGTCCAGCTGTAACTGTCCTAGGGACATCACGTCTCTGACATTTAAGACATAACAAAGTGGTCTAGTTATGTTCGCTTAGCTCTGGTTTTACACACCTCAGCATTTCTTCACATCTGGGATTTCTGTGAGCCTGGCCACGTAGCCCCCTGTGTGAGGCCTCACTGGAGGAATCAGGGGTCTCTTATCTCTCCTGTCTGTACCTTCACCACTTACCTGTCCCCAAAGGGACAGAACCTTTGGGCAGAAAGCGCTGTACTGGGATTCTGAGCAGTGACTGACTGTATGCTTTTTAATTAGTGGAGGTTAGGGATAGCACAAGTCTCCAGGGAATCTGGAAGCAAGATTTTCAGAAACTCGAAGGGGCCAGCTGCTTCCAAGACAAGGTTCCTTTAAACATGAAGACACTGAGGCAGCCACAAGGTCCTCGAGGAAGGTCGCACTCTGTATATTTCAGGGATCTATCAGTGAGCTGCAAGCTCTAAGGGATTGTGATTTAAGTTACATTTCTTTTCCCTTTGTTTCCCCCATCAATACCTTGCTTACAGAGCTACCAGCATCCTCTCCAGGTGAGTAAAGAATGTCACTCTGGCAGGACCATCACCTGCCAGATATGCTGGGGACCTCTTGAAGAGGAATCTGCGCACACCCACAGGTATTGTAGGCATGTCTGACGGCAAAGACTTGGTTTGGCTTTTGGTCTGGAGAGAGGCTGCTAGAAGTTCAACCTAGTGCACTATTCCTTATAAAAAGTTCCGGCAAAGCAGCTTCCTGAAGATCTATATGATCAATCACTATTCTTGCTGAGCGTATATAAATAATCAGGCCCAGTTTGTTCAAATTGGACTTGTTTCACAAATGAATTAGTCCAGATTTGGTGATCTCTGATTTAAAATGAGGGTTGTTGGAACACCTGGGCGTCTCTGTCACTTGAGCAGCTCCCTTCAGCTCAGGGTCCTGAGGTCGAGTCCCCACGCTGGGCGCTCTGCTCAGTGGGGAGCCTGCTTTTCCCTCTCCCTCTGCCCCTCCCCCTGCTTGTGCTCTCTCTCTCTCTCTCTCTCTCTCTCTAATAAGTAAATCTTTAAAAAATAAAATAAAAATGAGGGCTATTATAGAGACAAAATGTTTCAGTAATATCTTTGTAGTTACTAGATTTTAAGAATAGAGACTCAAGAAAACTGGATGACTGTTGTACAGCGGGGCTTCTCAGAATGAGGACTGTCCCTAGAACAACCAAGAGAGTTAAGTCTCTTTGCGAGACTATATGAAAAAGCTTTCCTCACTGTAGACCGATCAAAAGATGGAGACTATAACACCCTGTTAAATTATTCACTTGAGACCAGGTTGACTCATAAATCTCTGAATGAACAGGCAAACCGTATCCTCCCGAAACCCGAGCTGGCGGTTACCAGCAGCCTGCCCCATGCGGACCCCAGACAGCTGGTGTATGTAAAGGAGCGGACGTCTGACACAACAGGGGATTTAGCTCCAAAATGAAGGGGCCCCTGGTGGGTTGTGTTACGTACTCCTGCAGCAGTAAACGTAGGGAGAGCCTCCTTGTGGGCCCACACATCAGAATAAAACCTGGGTCTCCTTCATGGAAAACCAACGAGCACACTAACATGCCTTATTATTACCACAAACCTGTGGAAGCCCTCAAATTTCTCTTCAAATGACAATAAAGGACTGGAGGAAAATTTTAGTTAAGTATCAAAGGTCTTTTTAGTCAGGCTTCTCTTTCTCATTATAACATTAACCTTATTTTTGTCTTTTCTGGTTTCTCCCTGCCCAGTGCCCAGACTCCTTCATTACCACAGCCTCCAGCCCACAGACCAGCCTTTCTACCCAGGGAGGTTCATGTACATGCACTGGCTGCCTCTGCCTTTGGTGACTCATATATAAATGCCCCCAGCTGACCACTGTGGACCCATAGGTAGAGGCATCTCTACGCCCCCAATCAACAGGACAAAGTCACAGAAGGACACATCTCCCTCCCTCAGCAACCTTAAAGATGTAAAGGTCAAAACTGGTCAGGTGGGGGATGATGTGGAGAACGAAGGCAGAAGGAAATGTAGCTAAAAGCAAGGTCCTTACAACCTGCTGCTCACCGGCAATGCTAGAGGCAGGAAGCTCCCAACCATTTTAATATTAATGCCTTGCTAGGGGGAAAACACCGGGTTTGACAACAGCAAGACTGCTTGGACCCTGTGAGTCTCTTTTAGCAGATGAGGTCCTTTTCGACCCTCCCCTATCTTTACTTCCTCCAAATCCCGAAGTAAATAAATAGTTGCTCCTGAAAATCCCAGGCCAGCAGCTCTTTCTGGTCCTGGGCCCTGTCCCCATGCTTTAAGAAAACAACATTTTTGCACCAAAGATCTCTCAAGAATTCTTTCTTGGCCATTGACTCCAACCTCACTGACATTCCAATGGGAACCTGCAAGTCACCGTGGGTGCTCAGAGGCATAGACCACAGCTTGCCTGGCATCCGAGCAGAGGCACAGGTGCAGTGACCTTGAACCCTGACCCGTGGGGTCTGACCTGAGCAGCAGGGACACAGCGTCAGGACTGCCTGAGACTCTAGGACACCGAGTAGGGATGCAAGAACCACAAAGGTGCCTGGTGCGGGGAATGACCCCCCATCCAGGGTCAGCCGCGGTGTGGCGGGGTCTGGGGCTGAGGAAGACACACCGCAGCGAGTTGCTCCCAAACAGACACTTACCCGCTCGGACGCTCTTTCCCCTCTGGGGTCCTAGCGGCAGATGACGCTTCCTAGAGAATCATCCTCTCACCTGAGGGTTCAGTATATTTGTATAACGTTCAGCAAAGTCAGTTTCTGTTTCAGTGCCGTTGTATGTGGTTATGATCTAGGAAAGTCATTAGGGTTCAAAGCCAATGGCCAAGAAAGAATTCCTAAGATGTTTTTGGTGCAAAAAGGTGGTTTTATCCAAGCACAGGGACAGGACCCGTGGGCGGGAAGAGCTGCACTAGGCTCCTGAGGAGGGGCCCATTATATACTTTCAAGTCGGGGGGGGGTTAGGGAGAGCGTAAGTCTCTAAAGAATTTGGAAGCAAGTTTTCCAGGGTCTTGAGGGGGCAAACTGTTGTTGGGAAAAGGTCATTTATCACTATTTCATAAAACCTTAGACGTGAGACCCTGTAGATGTGTATTGGTGGGTCATATGCTTGGGAGATGATTGCCCACATATATCTTGGGGGGAGAGATAAAGGAAGTTTCCAAAGGAATTTTTATGTGTCAAAACAGACTCACAGGACCCTGGGGGATAGGTTAAGGTTGCCTTTTGCCCGTAGCAAAGAGTCAACATGAGGCAGCTGTGTTGGGTTGTGAACAGGAACTACATGATCAAAGAGAAGGCAAGTGGCCAGGCCTCTGGAAAAGCTGGGACTGAGGGAATTTCCAGAGACCAACTGTGCAGTGAAGACGGAGGCAGGAGCTCACCCAGCAGGACAGGTGACCTGTGCACCTGAGGGTCTGCGAGCCGCCCCACTCCTGTCTGTCTGTCTGACTCATATTGAAGCAATTTGTGGAGGGATTTCTCCCAGACTGCAGGACAGACTCTTTACTAGGAACAAGGAGATGGAGTTCCGATTACAGGAAGCCTGAGAAAAACCACTAGAAGGACGTTGGTGCCACAGTCCTTATAGGCTCCAGGTTCCCGGCGTTCATGCTCCCAGTGCCCTTCTGGAAGACACAAAACACACAGGAAAAGGACCGAATCCAATCCCATGAGAGGCTGGGAAGAGCTCTGCATTCTGGTGGTTTCTGCTGGCGGTCCTGTGTCCTGCCTCGAGGACACGTCAGACATCCGTCCACAATTTGCCTCCCGGACTTAGAGACCTACACTTAAACATGATGGTGTGATGCCATGTTCTTTGATTGTTTTAAAAAGTATCCTTTTGGTTTTTTTTATATTTTATTAATTTATTTGAGAGATAGTACAAAAGGAGGTGGAGGTACAGAGGGAGAAGGAGAAGCAAAGTCCCCAACAAGTGTGGAGCCCATAGTGGGGGTTAATCCCAGGACCCCGAGATCATGACCTGAACCAAAGTTAGACACTTAGCCAGTTGAGAAACCCACATGCCCCTATCCTTTTATATTTTTTAAGTAGGCTACACACTCATGAAGGGCTTGAACTCGCAACCCTGAGACCAGCATCTGATATAAAGCGTCAGATGCTCCACCAGTTAAAGCACCCAGAAGCCCCGAAACTTATCCTTTGAGGTAACATACAGAAGCAAATTTGTTCAGTTAGCTTTGACCAAAAAAAAAAGAGTGAGTTCGTCATGAAGCCATCCCTGCCCCAATCTGCTTGACTCCAAGTTGTGTTTCCAGGAAAGAGTCTTGTTTAGTCAGTGTTGAAAGACAGAAATGACATCCCTGGGAGAGCCATCTGGCCCAGCCGCTCCCCGTCCTCACCCAGCGAAGGCAGCAGGTAAGGTGACCCCCACGTGGCCAAGGCAGGAACACCTGCCCCCCTTCTCCGGGGCATGTCCGGCCCTTGTGGTTGCTGGGCAGCCCAGAGCACACACACGGGTCTAACTCGCAGAGCCGTCCTCACGCTGCCACACTCACAGCTCTCTGAGATCAGGGACAGATGGTGTGTGGGTTCAACAGTGGCAGAGCTCTGGGGACGCAGAGGAGCAGCCTGGACCACCTGCATCTCCAAGAACCCCCACAGGGCTCCCTGCCGGCTCAGCCACCCCACAGGCTGCAGGACCCGAATCAGGAAGCCCCAGCATTTGTGGGCAGAAGAGGAAAGAGATGCAGATTCGGCGGAACTCAGGGGGACAATGCACGAAATGGTTCAGGGTCTCTGACACGTCACAGGGACCGCCAGGAGCTTTCCTCCTTATACAGCTGCCAGGGAGACAGGAGAGAGCCTGTCCCCGCCCTGTCACTGCACTCGGGACTCTCGACACCACAGACACAAATGTGTTCATTTGACAGGCAAACGGGGTGGCCAGAATGTTCCATTTGCATTTGTGTGTTCAGCTGCGAGGACGACCATCTCTCGGGCTCCTGCACCTGATCGTCTCTCTCTGCGCGTCCTGTGCTCCCGCTCTTGGCTTGGGTAGGGACCGTGGTGGTGTGATTTCTCTCACTGATGGGCGAGGGGTCCTGAGCTTTTATAAAGAAAGGTTCCCTCAGTGTCCCCGTCTGTGTGGAGGGCGCAGGGTGGGAGCACAGGAGAGTGAGTGAGCTCTATGCTGACACGACCCCTCTCCCGCCCCAAAGGGAACGCTGTTCTAGTTTTCAACTGTTGCATCAGTGAAAACTGTCCATTAGGGAACAAGGACACAATGACATTTTTCCTCTTTTCCTGGGACTATTGGCCAGTTTCTGCTCAAGTGAGAAACATGTAGCACCGCACACAGGAGTGACCTGTGTCCCCGTGTCGGGCTCTGGCTGGAAGGGGCGCTGTTCCATTCACTCTCCAAGGAACACCTCGCCTTAGAGATTTTTCTATTCGACGGGTGAGGGCAACAGAGCTCAGAAAGGTAAAGCCAGTTCTCCAGCATCCGCACAGTTTGTCCAAAATCTTCCCGCCAATATGTGGCAGATGCAGAATGAGCGACCCAGCAGGTCTGACTGCAGAGCTCAGTCTGTCTCTGCACCGTGAGGAGCTGTGGGGACAAGGGCGGGTCCAGGCCCCCAAGTCAGATCCTGGTTCACAAGAGACCCCCTCCCCCACAAGAGCCTGGAAACAGCTGTAACCACATGGAGAGGCCACAGACAGATAAGAAAGGAAGGTTCCCTTACCCCGCCCCCAGTCCCCTGCAGACAGCGTCACGGCCCAGCTGTCCCTAATACAGGGGCCTTGGGAGGCTGTCCTGGCCCCTCACTCACACACACGCCCTCCTCAGCTGGGATCCGGGACACACGCAGCCTGGGGGGTGGGCAGGGGTGCACACAAGGGCCTGAGATTGTAGTCAGAGCTCCGCCGACAAAGCAGGACTCTGGAAAGTGAGACACTGAGCTACTGGTGATCTCAGCCTCGGCCCCCAGAGCAGGGCAAAGAACTGCCCCATCCCTAAGAGAGGTCTGAGGGTGGTTTCCCCGTCCTGGGGATGTGAGGGCATCCCAGACAGGCCCGAATACCCCCTTCCCTCCCTCAACCCTCAAGAGTCTGGAGAAATCAGGGTGTGGATACCAGCAAGCCCCCACTGCTCACCTGCCTCCCTCACAGTTGTTTCCTGCCCCCCTTGTCCCCCCAGCCACACCGATCCCGGAGACCCCCCACTGATCTGCCACTCACCCAGGAGGAGGCTGACCTGGAGCATCAGGGTCTGGGAGGGGAACTGGCTGCCCCACAGGGAGTCCATAACGGTGGGACCCAGAACACATCAGCTCCTCCCTTTTCTTTCCTGTTCCTGCCCTCCTTCCGCAACCCCCCTCTGCCCGCCTAACACCCAGGCCCCTCCTCCCTTTTAATGATTCACTAGCTCTGGCCTCAGGCTGCCTGATCAGCAACAGGCATGAAGATTTGAAAAATAAGGGCTTTTTCTGATGAAAATAATCCATGCTGATTATATAAAATTTGGAAAACATAGAAAATGATACAGAAGAATAAAGATCATCAGAACTCGAAATAATTTTGAAGGGATATGCTGATGTTTCCCCAAATGATTGGACCCCCTAGAAACTTTACTATGATGTCAGCCCCTTGATTTTCATGGGATTTATAGTCCATTTTCTGGTGCTTCTCTGTGTGCAGGGACATCTAGTATACCTGCTACTTTCTTCTCATTAACCACATCAACATGATGGAATCCCATGGGAGGTCAGCATGAGGACAGACGGGCTGAGACATGATCCTAGTTATGTAGGAGAGAAGGTAGGGTTCGAAGCCGATGGCCAAGAAGGAATTCCTAAGACCTCTTCGGTGCAAAATGTGGTTTTATGAAAGCACAGGGACAGGACCTGTGGGCAGAAAGAGCTACACTGGGGTAGGCATTTCCCATTATATCCTTTCAAGTTGGGAGGGGATTAGGGAGAGTGTAAGTTTCTAAGGAGTTTGGAAGCAAGGTTTCCAGGGCCTTGAGGGGGCGAGATATTATTCAAAAAGGTCATTTATTAACGTAAAATAAAACCTGAGTCATGAGACCCTTCGGATGTACCTTGGTGACCCATATGCTTGGGGGATGATTGCCAACACATATCTTGGGGAAATAAAGATAAAGGAAATTTTATATGTTAAGGTAAACTTACAGGATCCTGGGGAGGGGGTGTGGGGGGCTCAGGCTAGGATTGCCTCTTGCCCTTAGAAAAGTATTAACATCAAGGCAGTTGGATCCCTAAAGGAAAGTCACTCTGCCTGTTTCAAGGACATGCCACTGGGCTGTAGGAAATAAGGAAATTTAATATTTTTTCTTCTGCCTTTTTTCCCAACATCACTAGCAGTTATGATCCCAGCACAGCTGAGTTCCTCTGGCTGGAGGCAAACTGAGCGGGTCCGAATACAGGAGACCCTGGAGCTTGTCTAGGCAGAACCACGTGGGCAGCTCAGGGTAGGTCGTCTGCAGGGACAATGACATTCAACTTCACATGGTTGATGTGGGGGCTTGGGTGGGCTCCCCTAGCAGCCCAGACAAGGGACAAATTATTTGGGGGCAAATGTTTCTCATCTCCCACCAACAAGTATTGAACAGGTACCAGGAAGCAGCTCTGTCCACGTCACAGGTGATGGGACAGAGAACAAGGGGAAGCTTCTGCCCTCAGGCTGCCTGCAGGCTCGTGAGGGAGAAATTACACTGAAACGAAGGACCCCCATGAGTGTGAGCAGCATTTGTGAGCAGCAGAGGGAGCAGCTGAGAAAGGGAAGCAGGGAGAGGAGAGACCGTTCCTCATACAGACTGTATCTGCTCCCTTTGGCAAAAGAAATCAGGAAAGCAGGAACTCTACAGTGTTGGAGAGTCTCCCCTGGAGGAGAGTCGACCAGGACCCAGAGTCTGGTCTTTTCACTAATGTCCATGATTGTGGAGGTTTGGAAGGGGTGAGATGGCAGAGGAAGTAGAGGGGCCAGAGACATCTGGGTCCCTCTCCGCTCCACCTGGATGGGGACGCAGTAGAAGGAATGAGATCCACTGAGAGATTTATGGGCTGAGTCCTGACTCTGGCACTCCCAGCCCTGCTGCCTACAGAGTCAGCCTTTCTGGCTCCTTCTACTGATCTGTAAAGTGGGCACAAGGCTCCCCCCGCACAGAGAGTCCACCAGGACCCAGGGAGTCAGCAGCGAGCAGAATGTCTGAACAGTGCGGGTCGCAGAGCCCGCCCTCAGCAAGCAGGGACGATGACGAATTCACGTTGTCTGTGAAGAGCTCTCAGCGCGGGACTGACGGCTGGGGGTGCTCAAGACGGGCCCGGGGGGATGTTGTGATTCTCCACGGTTTCTCCCAGAGGCTGAGGGTCTGAAAGCTGTTTGATGTCGTACAGATGAGGGGACAGTGGGGGCCGTAAAGTGTTGTCACGTAACAGAGGCTGAGTGGTCCTGGAACAGGTTGGGACCAATTTATTTACTCAGTTTCCCTGATCTACCAGTGTGTGTCTCACGGGGAGCTTGTGCACAAGGATTTAGCACAGAAAGAACTGCTGGACCCATCGAGTCCCTGTTCAGAGCCGTCCGAGGTGGAAGAGGCAGGACCAGAGCTGCGGGCGTCATGCTCAGGAGACAGGGGTCCCTGGGGTCGGAGTCTCCTGCTTCTTATAATTACATCTTCCTCATGACCTGGCCTGGCTTGTGGACCTCACTGTAGACAGTAGTGAGAGAGTTCTCCTCTTCTAGATGTGTTTCTCCCCTACCCTGGAATGCAGACAGAGGATAGCATAAGGGGCACAAGAACCCAAAGAGACTCACACAGACCCAGAGCTGCTGACATGACCTCCCACAGCGCCCAGCAATTCACGGGATCCCAGAAGAATTTTCTTAGTTGATACTGCATTATGGGAAAGGGTACAGAGCAATTGAGGACAGAACTTGCAGGTGACTGGGATCAACAGGCACACACCCAGGCACAGAGGGACTTGGGAGAACTGCCTCCCCCTCCAGCCTCACCTTGTCCCTGGGGTCTCCAGACCCCTGTTGGGTCTGATCTGCATAGTGGATGCCACCATCCGGGTCCCTGGGCTCCTCCTGTGATCCTGCCCCTGAGTCACACACAGATGGAGCTTGAGTCTCAGCCTGGAAGCCTGTACCCTCCCCCTCCATGACCCCCATGGCCATGACCACACCTGCCAGCCTCCTGCAGGGACATTCCCTGAGCAGCAAAATGCAGGAGAAAAGAAGCCCAGAGTCCAGCAGGGGAAGGTGGTGTCTGGGTACAGGGAGGAAAGTGCAACCTGCCTTTCCCAGACTCCAACTTCTTCTTCCCACATCTCATCCAAAGGTACAGTCCAGCTTCAAGGATCATCAGTGTGACCACAATAGTCCCCAGGATGTCACGCAGGAGAGCAACAAGAGATGGTCCATGTAGATCTGTTTCCATCACACAGAGAGTGAAGAAGATTAAGGCAACAGAGAACTGAGGACGCCCATTGCCAGGCACATGGAGACTCTGAAAGGACCTGCTCAGAAGCTCGAGAGGGAGCAGCATGGCAGGGGCTCTCACTCAGCCAGTTCCCAAGCTCTCCTTCGGGCCGGGGTGCTGAGAGGAGCAGGACATGGTGCCAGCCCTAGAGGAGCCCCTCAGCAGGGGGAGGGCTGACACATGCCAGAGGCAGCCAGCCAGAGCCATCCCAGGGCACTAGAGCTTACAGCTTGTACCCAGGTCATTAGGGAGGGCCTCCTGGAGGAGGTGATGGCCAAATCTGGTCTTGAGGGAGGAGTAGGAGATTGCTGGGTATTCAGGGTGGGTGTGGCATCCCAGGAAGGCGACCCATGACCAAGTATAGCTATGACAACTCCCTAGCCCTGGGAGCTACTGGCACCCATTGGGGCAGGCCAGAGAGGTACCAGGAAGGAGGAACTGGGTGGGAGGATGAGAGGGAGGCAGAAGCCTCTTTCCAGAGGGCACAGTGGGTCCCTGAGCCATGAGCTTCCTCTGGGATCAGGGATACTGAGGCAGCAGGTCCACCAGCTGGTGGAGGAGGGGGTGGAGAGAGAGGTGGCTCAAGGGGAACCAAGTCATTCATTCATAGGGACCCACTAACTGTGAGCAAAGGGCCTGAGGCCAAGGCTGGGACAGGCATTCAAAGGAGAAGCAGACATGGCCACTGCCCACCAGGGGTTCAGGCTGCTGAGAAGACTAATCCTGGGCCAGAGCATCAGCTCCCACTGTGGGGCCATTGACTGCTCCTTAGGGGAGATGAGGTGTGAGGGCAGGACATCAGCAGCTCCTACAGGGCCCTGAGCTTTTGAGGCTAAGGAGCCCCAGTGCAAACTCTCTTCATGCTGGGACTGCCCCCAGCACGTGGCCCTGTGGGACTGCCCAGGTCACAGTCCCCCGGAGCCAGCTGCAGGAAGGGGATCGCTGGATGGGAATAAGTGGGGAGTGGAGGACTCCTGACTGTGGAGTCTGGAGTCAGGTCCCTCCCTGTGCTGAGGGCAGAGGGAGGGGCCTGAGCGGAGGCTGGCAGCCGAGGAGAGCGGGACACATCGGGAACGCAGGCGAGCATGTGGGTGTGACGTAACCAGAAATGGGCAGAGGAGCTGCGAGCCCTGAATCCTACAGGGAGTCACCGGCCCAGACCCCTCAGATGGCACAGACCACAGACACCCCCAACTCACTTTTCCTGAAAGCCACCCTAGACACACTCAGGATGATGGGTGAGGGCAGGGAGAGGTACCTGCTAGGTGCTGCCTGGACCAGCAGGGCTGAGGGCTGGAGAGCAGCACGGGAGCGACACCAAAAGACAGAAGCAGGTTGGATGTGCCTGCCAGAGTCCTGGATGGGATGACCAGATGGCAGGGAGTGACATAAACATGGGAGACAGAAGTCGAGAACTCTCACCCAGAGCTCCCTGAGCTGCAGGAGAGTCCCTCCCCTCTAGCAGGTGCACTCACCGTGGCCACAAACATCCCGAAGGTCCAGGATGACAGTTTTCTGGTCCCCCTGGTTGCTGACCACACAGGTGAGGCTGGGGCTGGGCCGGCTCAGGGGCAGGTTCACAGCCAGGCTCCAGGGGTTGGGGGATGGTCCTGGGGCCAGTCTCTGCTCCAGCTCCCTGGGGAGACCCTCGCTCTCCCAGTACACAGTCACATCCTTTCTGGTTCCCGTGATGTTACATTCCACTGTGACGTTGCACCCCCCTGGTGTGAGGGACAGAACCGTGGCCTGGATCTGGGGAAGGGGCACAGGCTCTGGGGCGGGAGGGACAAGAGGACAGTCTCAGGTGAGTGTAGAACATCACAGCTCCTGCTTTCTCCTGCGGATTCTCCCTGAAGCTCTGGCTTCCTCCCCATAAGGACAGTGAATGCATTTTACAGATGACAGGAAATTGACAGAAATATACAGCAGGGTCATTAAGGAAGGGAGCCACTGAGTTCAGCTCTATGTGATTTCACTAGACTGAGCACGTCTTAAAATTCTCCCAGGACAAAAAGACACTGTAGTTGTCTACCCATAACCAATCAATTCTAAGAGATTGAGGTGTCACCAAGAAGAAAGAGAAGTTGGAAAGGGATTTTCCAGGTCCAGAACCCAGCCCTACTTCTCCTGTTCAGATGGTTCCTGGGACGGCAGAGCCCATGGTACAGACGGCTCTTGGCCAGCTCTGGGAGCCCAGAGATCAGCCCAGGCTCCCACCAGGAGAGACCGTAGTGGGAGTCACTAGGAATGGCCTTCCTAAGTGTGGTTGCAAGATGCCCTGAATTTGGAGTCCACATGGGAAGACAATGGACAGACTGACAGTCAGTCTTGGGGATCTCAGGGACCTGAGTCTGCGAAGGCCACTCTCTCTGGGGCAGGACGTCTCCCTGTGAGGGCGGGAGGGGTGCAGGGTGAGACAGCTGCTCCCTGAGGGTCTGGGGAAGGGCTACCCTGTGAATTCTCCTCCACCCGTGGAGGTTCAGAGCTGGACTGTGCAGTCTGTGAGTGAGCTGACTCGGGCTGGGCTGAGAAGGATGAGGGGACGGGGCGGGGAAAACCACACGCAGGATTCCGGATCCTGCTAGGTGACGACTGTCCCCCAACCATGACCACGTGCTGACCCTCAGAGCCCGCAGGTGTCTTAGGTTCTAGGGCAAATGGGAACTGAGGCTGAGAACCAGCGGACCCTGGACTAGAGATGGTCTGGATTCCCCACACAAGCCCCATGTGATCACAGGATCCTCACAAGTGGGAGGAGGCAGGAGAGGAGGTGGGAGGGACGCAGTGTCAGAGGGACTCATCCCACCAGTGTCACCTGTGAAGGGGGAAGAAGGGACCACGATCCAGGGGGTGCGGATGCCCCTAGAAGGGGGAACAGGAACAGAAGCGGATTCTCCCTGGAGCCTCCAGAGAGGAGCACAGCCCTGCTGACACCTGGACTCATGGCAGAGGCTCTGGGGTCTGACTCCTGCCCTACAACCCAGGAGGACCCCCGGGGGGGTGGTATGGTCAGCCACTGAGGCGCCGTCACCTTTTACATCAGCACTAGACAGCAAGAGTCCCACTAAAGGCCCAGAGTCCTAGGGGACAATGAGTGTTAAACGGCAAAATCCCCATTTCCCCCCATTCTGTGTTCCCTCCTGAAGCACAGACGTGATTCGTCCCTGGTGTGAGTCTCAGCTCTGCCTGCATTTGTGGTGACCTCACAGCATCTATTTTCTGGAAGGAAGATCGAGTCTGAAGGCTGCGGTCTGGAAGGAATCCTGCAAGCGTGGTGCATGGTTACTGTGAGGGACGGAGGAAGGGCATCAGCTGTGGGACTGGGGGAGGGGCCGCCACGTACCGTAGACCATCAGGTGGAAATCTTCGTCATACTCTATTCCTCCAGTTAAAGAGACTCGAGCCCAGTACAGCCCACTGTCTTCAAGGGTCAGATTGTCAATCCTTAGGGTCGTTGTGTTGAACACATGGACCCTCTTCTCAAACTTGTCCTGGAAGTTGACCCATTCTGGAACATCTCTCCCAGGAAACACGTGCAGCATGACTATGTAATTTGATCTGGATACGACGCCCCAAGACATCTTCTCCAGCTCAAATTCTGGAGGTAATTCTGGTTTTCTGATCACTGGAAACAGCGCAGAATCTCCTTGAGTTCCCTTCAGAGTAACAAAGATTCCAGAATCGTCCACTCCAGACCCAGGGGCTCCAGGACTCTGGGTCACAGCACTGCAGACACCTAGGGCATAGGACACAGAAAACATGGGTGGTTTTCATTAGGAATAAAGGAGAAAACCCTAGAACCTATCTTCCTGAAATCCATCCCATGTGCCCACTTGACCTGAGAAGGCAAGAGAGTGCCATGAATTTGGGGCGAGGGTGGAATCCCTCCTGGTCCCAGAGGAGCATCCCCTTGACCAGGTCACGGGAACTCGCTCACCTGCAGTGTCCTGACCCCTGACAGCGAGGGGACGAATGTCAGGAGATCTAGATTCTGAAGCACGAACACATTTTGGGGGCCACAGAGAGTGCATTTCTGCAGGAAGCAGGTTCTCACGGGGTTGCAAAGACCCCTCATGCCCACAGGCCGTGCGAGCTGTCCCAGGAGGGGGGCCACTTAGAGGGGACTCCCCTCTAAGGAGCAGAGTGCCACTAACGTGATGGACGGCCCTCAGGGACAGCAGGTCCGACAGGAGTATGACCCCATCTTACTGTGACCCTGTCTCCTGCTCGCTGTGACAAAGCCCGCCGCCGTATTGTGGGCGGCCCCGTGGAGAGACCCCCACAGGGAGGGAAGGAGGACAGCCTCTGGCCAACACCCAGGGCAGGTGAGGCCTCTGTCCCTCATCCACAGGAAGTGCGCCTGCGGGAGGCTGGACGCCCAGCCTCCTGGGTGACCCTTGAGCTCCCTGCAGCCCCAGCCCAGACCTAATGTCCATCCCAGTGGACCTGAGGACCCAGCCGTAGTCCCCTGGGTCCTGATCCACACAAGCTAGGAGCCCACACCTGGTGTGTGTCCAGGCACTGAGGGGCAGCAGGTGACCCCCCACAGGTGACCACGGAGGCGCTGACGGAGGTGGCGCCCTGTCCCCTTCCAGAGCAGGCCTGCAGTCAGGCTCGGCAACACTAGGCTGCTGTCCCTCACACGTCCAGGAGCCCCGGGTCTGAGGACAGGGGAGCTCCCCGGACTGAGGGAGGGTCTGCCACACGGGCGAGGCTCCCTGCCCTGATACCTGCCACAGGGGCCACAGCAGGGACACAGACCGTGGAATCACCCCTGGAGGTGTCTCACCATCTAGAAATAGCGGGATCTCTGCTCGTGTTTGTTGGCTGTACTCGTCACCTGGCCTGGCCCACTGCCAGGGAGGAGAAAATGTAGTGGAGACGATGATCGTCTGGTGAGCTCGCTGCGCCTGCCAGCAAGACAGGGCTTCTGTGTAGACAGCACGCATGGCTGTGCAGACACTGGGATGACACATGGGGGGTCTAATCAGCCAAAGGCAGGTCCATCTCAGCCTCTGACAGACCCTGCTCATCGTCCTCCTGAGAGCGACCCCCGCAGCTCTCCCCCGAATAATGCTGAGGTTCCCACTGGCACGGTGATCAAGCTTTCTGCCCTTTGCCAAACTGATAAGAGAAAATTATGTCACATTATATTTAAGGAACATTTCTCCTGTGAATGAGCCTGGCAGCTCCTCATGAATTAATGCACAGAAAACGGTGTCCCGTCACACCCGCGTCCCCACCCAGTCCACGGCCATGGCCCATCTCGTGTGCAAATACGCAGAGTGTGGTGCACACAGAACGCCAACCCCGAGTCAGAGAAGCTGCCTTTGTTCCAACAGGGGGACGGTGCCTGGGGCTCCCCGAGGGACAGCAGATCTGTCCCCAGGGTGGCACCTGCCCGCGGGCTGCTCCCCAGGAATTCTGAGCCCACAGTGTCGCTCTCAGTGCCTCCAGCGTGGGTCAGAGGGGTCCACCCCAGGGGACAGGGACACGGACGCTGGCGTTTCTGCCGACCACGGGCAGCACCGTGCGGCTCTGGCCAGGCTATTCCTGAGCGGCTGCTCCGTGCCAGCCCCCGCTAAGGCAGCTCACTGTCCTGAGCAGGCCATGCACACCGGGGTCCACACCCTGCTCAGGAGCAGAGACAGAGACAGCAGAGGCCCGAGGACTGCAGGGAGCCTCGAAGATGCATCCCTCCCCCCTTGGAGGGCGGAGGAGGTGATCACTGGTAGTCCTGGGCTCTGGGTTCTGACGTGGCCCAAGCAGACTCCCTGGCTGTCTGTCCCCGTCAGAACACAGGACGAGGGCAGGACAAGAGGGAGACATGGAGGAGAGGCCTCGGAGAAGCCACAGGACAGTCCTGTCCAGGGGGAGACCCCCCAATCCAGGATGTCACAGCTGGAGGGCCTCAAGGGGAACTTTCACAGAGGAGGGGCTCCCTCAAGGGCAGGAGGGGGTCTGGTCTAGGTCACACAAGGCAGAGCCAGACCTGGAGCCTGCTTCCCTCTCCCCCAGCCCATTACCTCCCCTGTAGGAAGCTACACCACCCATCCTGCCCTCCCCAACCTCTGCAGCCCCGCCCCCGGCCTCCCCTGCCCTGCCCAGGGCTCCTCCCTCCAACCAGCACTGTGGTCTGGTCTGTGGTATCTGAGAAGATCTGGAGTCTCACCCCCCAGCTACTGTCCCAGGAGAGGGGACTCAAGTACTTGGTGGGCTTTGGCAGGGCAGGTATGCGGGGCTACCTGAGGGTTAACCGGCGCCTGCTGGAAAGGGGGGAACCCGGGACAGAGGAGGCTCAGCCCTCGGGCTGTGGGGGAGGAGCGGCCCCGAAGCTGGAAGCCCACTCAGGACGGGAGGAAGACACGACAGTGCTCAGATCTGCAGAAGGTGCTGACGCCAAAGAGGGACAGAAGGTCAGGGGCGGGTGCCGCGAGCAAGAGAGCCCGAGTTTATTTAAATTAGATGAAACTTAACTTGCCACCATCAACGTAAAATTTTGTCAATTTCTCTGTTTTCCTTCCTTCATTCCCTCCCTCCCTCCCTTCCGTCTTTGCTTTCTTTCTCAATCTTCCAACCTCGATGTTTATGGACGACACTGTGTAACTTCCCGTACGTCTCCAGCTCAGTAAAATAGGGAAAGTGGAGAAAGCCCACACGCAGACAGGACGGTACCCGCTAACCTGGTCTCCGCGCCGTGCCAGCCTCATTTTCTAATGCGGAAAGACCTGTTTGCAAATGTCCTCTGATTCCAGAAACGTCCTAGATTCCCTGCGGCCCAGGGAGGGCTGCTTCACTCAAACCAAACATTACAGACAGTAACAGCCTCCCCTACCCTCCTCAGAATTCAGCTCCGAGGGTCTCAGGGTTTTCTCCTTTGTTCTTATTTAATGTGTTACACAGAAGCACCTGGACTCCGATGGAGTAAGAACCAGAAAGTGGGGCCCTGGTTAACACAGTGATATAGTTGCCTTTTTGGAGCCCTCTCTGTTTCTCTCCTGCCCCCCTCCCCCGCCTTGGGTCACCCCCACCCAGAGCCCAGGTCAGCAGTCTCCCGTTCAGGGCTCACCCCTACACACAGCAGGTGGGCGCAGACCCTTGAATTCTGCGGGCTCTTTCCTTCCTTTGCAAACAGAATGTCACTGGATTCGGGGCCTCATCTTGCCCAAGGAGCCAGACTAGCGCGACCCCTCCAGCTCAGACGGGGGCTCTGGGTCGGCCCCTCCTGCACACGGCAGCTGCAGAGGCTGCCGGTCCCCGTGCACGGCAGGGGGGATGTCGGTCCCCACCCCGGGTCCCCGCAGCCACTCCTCTGTCTCCTCCATCCTCTCCCCACGAGGCTCCGGGGTCTCCCAGTCTCACCGCCCTGGGTTCGGGGGTGGGGGATTTCCTTCATGCTTCCAGGCAGCCGGGTCGGGGTTCCCAGCCTGGCCTCAGCCCAAAG